GTGCTCTTCCCCTGCCCGGCAGCAGCTGCATCGAGGGGGTTGTGTTATTTCAAACAGCCTCTTTGCATGTCTGTGTTCCCCCTTTCTGCAGATTGCAGAAGGGATGGCTTACATCGAGAGGAGGAACTACATCCACCGCGACCTGAGAGCTGCCAACATCCTGGTGTCGGCGGCGCTGCTGTGCAAGATCGCGGACTTCGGGCTGGCCAGAGTCATTGAAGATGATGAGTACACGGCCCGGGAAGGTGTGGGAGCTGGGGGGCTCCTGGCCGTGCTCTGGGGTGCTGAAGGGTTGTGGGATTGCCTTCAAGCCACTTACCAACATGTCACCTCGGTGGCAAGGCCCCCGGGGGACGTGCTGTGTAAACGGGCAGAAGAGGGAAGCTCCTCATTTGCATCACTCCACGTCTTCCTCTTCTGGTTGTTTGGTTCTTGTTCCCCGTATTTCCTCACCGGTTTCTCAGCATTCGGGTTACAGCTCACGTTTCCCATGGGATCTCTTCGTCAGGTGCCAAGTTTCCCATCAAATGGACTGCACCAGAAGCCATCAACTATGGATCTTTCACCATAAAATCGGACATTTGGTCCTTTGGGATCCTCCTGACCGAGATCATCACCTACGGGCGTATGCCCTACCCAGGTACCTTCCTGCAGGGGGAAGTGGTTCTGTACGAGGAAAGTAAATGGTGCCACAGACAGACTCTGGTGGCTCTGGGGTGGCAGAAAGGGTTGTCTGGGACAGCCAACCCTGCCATCACGCTGAATTCTTCATATTGGAAGGAAGAGCTCACCAAAGACTCAGCAGGTGGAGAAGCCTTTCTTTATTGGTCAGATTTATACACAACTACTATAATTCCCACCTGCCCTGCTCAAGTGGGTGCAAACCTGCGTGCCACAGCTCCCTCAGCACCTTGGTTGTCCACGTTTCCCTGCCCAGGAGTTGCAGTTCCCCCTTCCCAACCCCTCTGACCTGTCCCTTTTCCTCTCGGCGCCATTGCCCAAAGGGTGGGTAGTTTGAGGGCCTGGGGTTTTTATCTCTTTGAAGCGAGCAGTGATAGATTGTGCCACACTCACCAACCTGCCCCGTTCCTCCAGGGATGACGAGCGTGGAGGTGATCAGGGCGCTGGAGCGCGGGTACCGGATGCCCCGCACCGAGAACTGCCCCCAGGAGCTCTATGACATTATGATGAGGTGCTGGAGGAGCAAACCTGAGGATCGTCCCACCTTCGAGTACGTGCGGAGCGTTCTGGAGGATTTCTT